CTTCAGTCTCTCTCATTTTCTCTTTGGTTTATGTTGCTTTTTTTTCTCCTTCCTTATCTCTCTCTCTCTCTCTCTCTCTCTCTCTCTCTGTGTCTCTCTCTGTCTCTCTCTCTGTGTCTCTCTCTGTCTCTCTCTCTGTCTCTGTTCCTCTGTCCTTCTTTGTTTATTTCTTATTCACTAGCTCTGTCTCCCTCTCTCTCTTTTTATCTTCAAGTCACCCCAGTATAAGAAAAATAAAAGACAAATTAGAAGCTTGCCTTATTCCCAATATCTCTTGAGAGAATTGTAAAATGATAAAGTTGAAAATCTAATACACTGAAAAAGCAACAAAAAAAAACCCTGTGGTAACTGCACTAAAAGGTTTGCACCTTTCCTCCCAAAAAAGTGTGCAATTTTATTATGCAGTACATGCTGCTAATACTAATATATATATATGCCTGAGGTAAGCTGTCGTGTACAGTTCACAGTAAGCAAAAGTAACATTTGGAAACATTTTGTTAAGATCATACATGTATTATGACGTGCGACACAGAGATGAAACAGAAGAAGCTGACCACACTAGAACATCCATGACATCTGCATGGCCTGACATAAAAGATCATACATGTATTATGACGTGCGACACAGAGATGAAATAGAAGAAGCAGACCACACTAGAACATCCTTGACATCTGCGTGGCCTGACATAAAGAGAGGCACAGCGATTGTCACGGAGCCGAGTTGTCTTTCCGCAGTGAGTTGTGTGTTTGAGTAAGAGTTTTACGGCACTTGCAGCACAGTAAAGTCATATAAATGCTGAAGATCAGAAGTGTTACAGGAGAGTAATGAATACAAGAAGAAAAAGAAGGAAGAGAGATCAAGACGTCAGATATTTGATTGAAAAGAAGGAGCAAACCAAACCAGAGCACCTGCCAACCAACCAAACAAGTCGTTACATCAGAATTGCAAAGTTCTATCTGCTCAGTGCCTTGTTCTGAGAAATTTGACGTCAAAGATTTTGAGTATCACATCATGCGAAGCTTTTTCGAATGCAATTTTCTTAATATCTTGAGCAGACAGAACATTGGGTTTTGATCTGATGGTCGTAGTAACTCAAAATGGCCAAAAATGTCAGACCAAACTTTGTAAATCAGACGTAGCGGAAGTACTTTTTTTTTAGCTTTAGTAAAGTTTTTACGGCGCTTGCAACTGCATAAGGTCACATGAGCACCAAGGGATGGATGTCAACAGAGAAAACCATACTAGGAATCAGGCTTACTCTGCTCATCTCTCTAGCTTCAACAGCACAAAGTCTGCTTCGACTATCAAGACACCCCAGAAATAGCCATTCACAAGAGTGTGACAAACATACAAAACAAGTATAGTAAGGATTAGGAAAGAAAAAGCAGCAGTTCTCTATTGCTGTTCAGGCACACTTATGAGCATGACATTGGTGAATCAGCCCATTTACAATTCTAATGAGCTTAAGAACATGTTAATGTCCCCCCTTCGAGAACGGCCTAAAGACACTTCAGTCCTATCCATCCAGAGTCATGTTCATGAAATTCAAACGCAGCATCCTAAGCAATGAGCACAACAAAAAAAAAATAGGACAACAAACACAAGCTAGAGCAGAAAGCTGCCACCTGTTCACTCAAAAGAGCATTGTGGGAATCGCAGGTAAAATCATGGAATGACAACATACAAACCAATATCACACACACACACAATATAACTACACACTTGTCCTCATTTTGAGTTTTCTACCTCTTCATCTTTCTTCTTTCCTTCAAAGAGCAAAAATGTCAGAAAGAAAAAATCCCCATTCTTTTGGAAAGATTTTACAATTAATATTTCCAAACAATTCGAAATCTACAGATTCCTCACAGCCATAACTAATTAATATCTTCTATTTTGACAGTAGAAAAATATATTTATCTTTATAACAATTTGAAGGTGGAAAGGAAAAGAGACAATATGGCCTATATTCCATGGTACGACATCAAGTATATAGTCATGAAAGCTGCACAGCTACTTTGATTTTCTCACCAGTATCTGCGCGTTTCTGCTTGGAGGTAGCATAATACATAGCCCCAGAAAACTAAACAGGCAGCCGATCTCCTAAACGACCTGAATTGTGGCGGCGGGGGTCTAAAACATGAACAATTATCTAACTCTCTCAGTGTGGCCAATTCCTTCGCACCCTCTCCACCTTCACATCCCAGAATCATACAACCCCCTTTTTCCGCCCATATAAATTATTGCAAAAATTTCTGTGAAAGTGAAACACCATCCTCATAACTTCAAAGCATGTTTTCTTTCGAATGAGTAAATAGCATCACATAGACGCAATAACGCTCAAATGCCAAAACACTATTTCCTTATCACGCTGACACCATGCGGATCTTGGATTCTTATAGAGTTCATTATTCCAAGAAGCATCTATTTCGTTTTAGTAAGAGTTTTACAGCACTTGCAACACAAAAAGGTCATATAAGTGCCAAAGATTAGATGTGTTACAAGAGAGTAACAAAAATAAAAAAGGAGGGGAGATATTTGTTTTAATAAGTGTTTTACGGCACTTGCAACACAATAAGGTCATACAAGCACGGAAGATTAAAGGTGTTACAACAGAGTAACACACATAGAAATTTTAAAAGGAGGAAAGATAAGGATGATTGACATTTGATAAGAAAGAAGAAGCAAACCACATCAGAGCACCCGCCAACCACCCACAAGGAGGGATGATAAGGAAGACAGATGTTAAATATGAAAGAAGGAGCAAGCCACACCAGAGCACCAGCCAACCACCCACATCTACTCCAAAACACAAAATTTTGAATAATTTAAATACAATTCGACAAGCAGTCCAGTGGTTTGGATGTCATAATCAGAAACACAAGCTCTAAAACATAGCACAAAAGTTTGTTGTTAAGTACGACAGGTGCTTAAAACTTACGATAAAATGAAAAAAACCCACTGCAATAGCACAAAACAACACTAGTGACAAGCAATATGGCTGTAGACAGGTAGACAACAAAGTACGGCAAGAGAGATAAGAGTAATGTGCATCATCAAAGACTCACTGAAGAGCTGCAGCATTCACAATTGTAATATACAAAGCAAAACTTTTAGATGCTCAAACTTTTAGATTTTTCTTTTCTTAAAGTGAAAGCAGTCTTACAGGAGTAGTGGAGTTTTTGAATCCACACAGGGTGCAAGCTACAGAGCATATGAATCAAAACCAGGATGACAAGCATGCAGAAATTTGGCAAGAGAATCAGTCTACTAAAACATTCTAAAATTTAAAATATTGAAGAAACATAAACCTAAAGAAGCATGAAAAATATTATGAGTCATTTTATATAATTCTGATTATAGGCATCAGATACCTGAGTGTGATAATATGAATATGTCGGGATGCATGTATAGATGTATACAAACACAAACACTGCCCCATGTAGGGGCAAAGTAAAACGGACATACTCAAAAGAGTATTTACAAAGGTTGAATTCAACTCTTCAAATTTTAAAAAAAAAAAAAAAAATACAATTGAAAAGGAAGAGGAGCAGACCACACGGGAATGCTCACCAACCTTTTATTAACGTAAAACGTCAAACACACATAGCCAACGTGCCATATAAATCTTGAGTTATTTTACGAAAGCACGACACAACAGAAACATTATCTTTTGCTTTGCTTTTGCGCTCACACCCTGATATTCCAGAAGGTGAACTGGATGGGAAGAGCAACAACAGGAAATGTGTAACACATCGAGGTGAAATCAGGCGCTTGTCAAAATAAAAACAATATCTCAGAAACTAACAGTTTTCTTACCATTTAGATGACTATACATTGTGATGCTTGTTCGTCTACGTGAGTTTACATGTCGTTCATCTTATCTGTTTCAGAATTGTGAACACTGCTGATCGATCCGATACTCTATAAGCAAATACCTCAAAGTTTTTTACAATTGGGTAATTTTTTAATATTTTTTTTTTTTAGAGTCAACACCTTTTATGTTAATTTAAAAACACATTTCTGTGTGGATTTTACAGAAAGCCATTGAACAAAGGCACACAAAAAAAATCTTTGTACTTTCCAAGGACACTAAGAGTTTGGTATCACTAAACTTCGGTGGCCATTTTCTCACTATCTTTACCTCTGACACCAGATGACTCCCCGCTTCCTTCAACTGCAAATACCTTGATTTCTATATATAAGAGAGAAGGGTATTTTTTTCATCAACAGCAAGGCAAATGATCAGGCCTTATGATTATACCAATACCTCCATATGCTTGACAATTGACAAGTGCCTGATTTCACTGTCATGACACAAATAATCAAAAAGACAAGAGACGAGAAAGAAAAACAAAACAAAGAAAGCAGGACGAACAGTCGGGAAGAGATAGCTGGTCTGTCTACCTGAATGTCTGGCTGCTTGCTTATTTGAGTTGAACTAAACCACATCTAGCACAATTAGGGTATTTGTACCAGTATGCAATGGGTGATTTTTTTTTAAAGACAATGGGGTGGGGGACCCCAAATATGAAATATATACAACTTCCAGAAAGGAGAGTGGGGGGGAGGGGTGGCCTAACGACACCCATCTCAGAACTCTAAATAAAAGGAAAAAAGCAAGAGAGATTGTGGTAAACGGAAAAAATAGAAACAGCAGACAGATAATGGAAGGGCAAGAAGGTCTACTTGCTTGTTTCAGTAACGAGAAGCCAACCATCACAATAATGTTAATTTACAGCAGGGAAAAAAGTAAGATGGATGGACAGAAACTACAGAAGGAAAGGAAAGAAGTAGCAATAATAGATAATAATAGATAGCATTTGTAGAGCGCAAATTCCTGCTCAACAGCACGCTCTAAGGGCTTCTCAATCTATACTATTATCCCAGCAGAGCTGAAAGCATTCTGAAACAACCTCAACTTCCTGGGAAGTGTACAGTGCAAGTGGCCATTTATAGGCGCTAAAACACTAACATATTGACAAGATCTCTCGCTGTCTATGGCCGGGTACCCATTCCCACCTGGGTGAAGTGAGGAAAATTTGTGTAAAGTACCTTTCCCAAGGACACAACGTCAGGGCTGCGGCTCGAACTCCTGAACTGGCAACCTCATGATTACCAGTCCGTTGGCCTAACCACAAGGCACCGATGCCACATACCAGTGTATAGTACATACCAGTAGTACATTCTAACCATCCCAAAAAGCAAGAAGACAGAAACAAAAAGAAGAATAAGAATGAAAGACAGAAGTTCACAATGCTGAAAGACTCTCCTCATACGTCTGCACAAAGAAAAAAAACCCACATCTAAATGCAAAATTTAACAACAGCTTTGTTAAATGCAAGGGGATAAAACATTTTTCTTTTCCACAGAGTTCCAGGCTATTCGAGTCCAGTGCTACAACATCTCCGATATTTTGCGACAGCATAAGTCGGAGGCCTGTTTTGCCTCGCTGCTGAGAAGGGCGAAGTTGAGAAAGCCGTGAGGTAGGTCATCCACAAGGTAAAGGTCAACAGGGACATCACACTGCCGCAGTCGTCGAGCAAACATGATGGAGTCGTCCAGCAGAGGGTCAAGGTGACAGCCCTGAGGGGAACACAGAAACCAACATCACACAGAGTTTTACAGTACTTGCAACACAATCATACAAGTGCCAAGGATTACAGGTGTTACAAGAGAGTAACAATAAAGAGGAGGAGAAAACAGGACGATACATGTTTGCTAGGAAAGAAGGAGCAAACCAAACCAGAAGGCGCCACCAGCTACCCACTCCATTGTTATCTACCCAAGGGAACTAAGTAAAGAAACATATTCAGTCGTGCACAGATAATTGAAACATAGCGGGGATTTACAGACAAGTTCAACACATCCATAATTTGGGTTAAACGATATGAAAAATTCTAAGGAATATCAGCCGAGGGGGGGGGGGGGGGGGGGGGGGATGGCCAACTGTGTAGGCTATTCATGATTTCGAGTTTTCCCTGTTCGCGTTATCTGCCCCCTATCGTATGTCACAGATAGCTAAACAATAACTTTAGAGAGATCAAGACTGCTGCCAAGTTGCAAGAAATCTTTCTCAGGGCCCCTATCTGAGAGAGAGAGAGAGAGAGAGAGAGAGAGAGAGAGAGAGCGAGAGAGAGAGAGAGAGACAGAGAGAGACAGAGAGAGACAGAGAGAGGGGAAGAGAGAGACAGAGAGAGACAGAGAGAGAGAGAAAAAGCAGCAAGAAAGAGAGAGGACATGAGACCAACAGACAGACAGGCAGAAGAGAGAATGAACAAAATTAGACAAAGAAAGACCCACAGACAGACAGATGAACAAACAAAGAGGGCATGTGTCACTCCATACGACAGAAGTGCCTTAATGTTGTTATCACAAACCCCAAAAATCTACTACCTTTAACACTTTAAGTTTCTCACTTATTACATATCTCTACGCATTAAGCCACCTTAAAATTCCAAAGTTCTGTTTGGCATGTTTAGCTGTTTTGATTTACTAAGACCATGAGGTCAGAAACCAAATGTTCTATCTGCCCTATAAAAACCGTTAGATTATTCATAGTCGTTATTGAGATATTCAAAGAATTGCATTCGCAAAAAACTGACATGTTGTGGAACTCCAAACTTTTTACAACAAATTTCTCAAAACTAGGTACTGAGCAGATAAAACGTAATTCCAGGGTAGCGATATTTGTAAGGCATCTTGGTGAAACCAGGCAATCGTCAATATAATGAAATCTAAGACATCTGTATTTTTCAGCCACGTTTTAAAAATTTTTTTGAATCTTTGTTTTTTGGCTCAACACCTTTTATGTCCATTGAAAAACATTTTAATGTGGACTTCACTGAAAACTGTTGATAAAAGGCATAACAAATGTAACTTTTCACTTTTCAAGTACTCTCAAGCTTTAGAAATCAATAAACTTCAGCGGACATTTTTTCAATAATTTTATCTCTGAAACAAGGTGACCCCCACCCCCTTAAATTGCAAATATCTCAACTTCTATTCAGGATAATGCGTATTTTTTTTCATTAAAAAATAGTCAAATGAACAATCATTAAGATGATACCAATAATTCTACATACTGAAAAATTGACCAGTGCCTGATTCTACTGTGTTGTAACACACACACTAAATTATCTATCCGCACATGCTCAGGACTAGACAGAACAAAAAAGAAATAAACTAGCACTCTTGGAAACAAAACTTTGTGCCTTTTTTAAAAATCAAACATCTATCGTGCTTATCTTTCCTCCTTTTTTTGAAATTGTTCCTCTTTTGCAATACCTCTAATTTTCGGCACATACAGGACCTAATTGAGCTGCAACAGCCGTAGACCAATTTCTAAAACAAAATAGCACATTATCAGTATCTAGCAAAACAAAAGGGAGAAAGTTTATGAAATGAAAATAGCACGCTTGGTCAGAGCCCATGTATAGACTAAACGCTATTTAAATACACATCTGACTGATCATATAAAGAACTGCTTGGGCATATGGAGCTATTGGTTTAAACTTAAAGTCTGTTAATTTGTCTAGCTTCTGGTAAAAATAAAATTATCTTTCTTGAATAAAGTTGAGATAATTGTGATTGAATGAGGTGGGGGTCCCCCGATGTCAGAGGTAAAAATTAGCCAGAAAATGGCTGCCAGCCACAGTTTGGTGAATTCCAATGCTTGAGTGTCCTTGGAAAAAGCAAATTTACATTTTTTTGTGCTTTTGATCGACACCTTTCCATAAAATCTACACCAAAATATATTTTTTAATGGACATAGAAGGTATTAACCCCCTAACCCCCTCAATTTTTTATTTTTTTTAAATGATAAAAATTGCCCAAAGGTTTCTTCCAAATCATTATTTTGACGAGCGCCATATTTCACAATGCAGCTACAAATGTAAAAAAAAAATGATCCTACTCCCTTTGTTTTACCTACTGACAAAAGTTTCAAATTCAGTTCCACTTACCACGATGCAGACTCGGGGCAGCCCTGTGAGCAGCTCGTCGGAGGCCAGCAGAGGAGACATGTACGGGTTCTCCACCACCGGGGCGCGGCGCAGCACGTGCAGGGGGCTCTGCACCGTGAAGCTCTGACGCTTGAAGTCCGATGGCGACATGCCAGTCTGTAGCCGAGGGGGGAAAGGAAATAGAAGGGTTTTTTTAGTTTTGATTTGTTAAGAGTTTTACAGCACTTGCAACACAATAAAGTCATATAAGTGCCGAAGATTTGTTAGTTTTAGTAAGAGTTTTACGACATTGCAACACAGCAAGATCTTATAAGTGCCGAAGATTAGACGCTTAACACAAAAAAGAAGGAAAAGAGATAAGTGTGATAAAATAATCACCGAACAACCTTACCACTTTGATAAAGCAGAGAGAACTTTTGGTTTCTGACGCATGGTCTTAGTAAATCATAAACCGCCAAAAATGTCAGATAGAACTTTGGAATTCTGGGGTAGCGACTTAGCAGGTGACCAGACGTACCACTCACCTTCAAACCATTGTGGAGCCTGCTGGAGGCTGTGGGCGACGTGCCTTGTTGTGGGAGCGGGCTGAGCATGGCCGACAGGGCCGGCGCCGACTCGCTGCGGAAGAACGAGTCGCTCCTGGAGGTGGACGGGAACTGGCCATCGGAGGTGGACGCTGGGGGGATAAACTGTACCTCCAAGCGGGAGTCGTCAAAGAATGTGTCGGGATCCACCGATTCAAACGGCTCCGAGGTGTCAGCGCCAAAGACTTGACTCGATGAGGTCAGGGGGTCATCGGTGTTGGCAGGTTGGGGAGCCGTCGTTTTCTTCAAGCTGAGGCTCGTGGGAGGTTTTGGAGCTGTGGTGGCGGGAGGTAATTGCTCTGGGCCGTCGACAGCAGAAGACAAAGACCCCTTCGGAACAAGTTCGTGGCCAGTGTTACTATCAGGTATCTCCTCGTCTCCGTTTTCTGTACAGTTTATGAGATTCTCAGAACCCTCCTCCGTTTCCTGCGTTTGGATAACATCGAAGATATTTCCGGTGTTCTGACATGCGACTGACGTGAGTGGAGGAGACTCCAGCGTTTGTAATGCATCAGCCAGAAGATCCTGGCTCTCGGCCGGCAAACATGGCAACGCTGTGGGGGACACGGCACAGTTGTTGAGCTCCGTCTGCGAGAAAAGCAGAACGTTTTGTTTCGGGGACGATGAGTTTGCGACGCCCTGCTCCGAAGAGGTGATGTCACTTAATGAATCGCTGGCACTTGGAATAGAACACAGAAGCTCACAGCTCAAATCTTTGTCCCCAACTGATGCCACATGGTTGGCGCCGGAGCCACTCAACATTTCGTCGGCTAATGCATACGGCCCACCACACTGAGGGTCTTCCTGAGAGACATGATCAAAATCTTCTAATCCATGAAGGCTACTCTCGCTCTCCTCCTTTCTCATCTGTCCATGACCCGAGCCCAACAAGACATTACCATTGGGTACAAGTTCGGCTAAGGGTGAGATTCCAATCGATGGTTTCTCCCCATCAATTAACGCTGTGTGATGCGAAGACGACTCACTGGTGAGAGAAACCGACTCCATTTTGTCAAACAGCAATAACCCCTGGTCCCGGTGTTGGTGGCTGGGGGAGGAGGGGGCCGTGTTGAAAGCCTGAGAGGAGAAGGTAGGGAGAGAGGAGGTGGAAGAGGAAAAGTCTTCAAACACAATCTCAGAGTCGGGAGAAAGATTGTTAGCATTGTCTTGAACTTCAACCTTTGTTGAGCCGTGACTGTGAGAAGAAAAGTCGTCCCCAGCCCGGTTAAGGTTCAAATCCTCCTCCATTGAAACTACCTCAGCCTCAGGGGCAAGCCCTTCTCTGTTCACATCTGGCACGACAGAGGAGCCACAGCCATTATTGTCTATTCTCTGACCTTCACCCTCATCACTAACCATTTGAAAGACATGGTTTGAACCTTCATGTTCTTGAGATAGGGCTAGGGGTTCCGATAGTCCTGATGATGATCCCTGAAGAGACACAGACACTTGTGAGCGGTCTCCTGTCCTCAGAGTCAGGTCTTCTTCTTCCTCCATTGCCCTCATACCTTTTTCCTCCCCCTCCTCCTTCCTTCCTCCAACTGTCGCTGTCCCACCTTCACGCGGCCTGCCAGAAGCTGACAAATCTTCTAATGGGATCATGTCCACCGAATCTGACTTAACGTCGAGATCAACAGACTCCACTTTGCCATTGGCCACCGTCGGGGAGGAAGTGGAAGAGGAGGGAAGGAGTGAAGCCAGAGGCTTCATAACACCGCGCGTCTTCAGGTCTTCTGACGAAGGCATGTATGACGACAGACTGCTAAACATCGTCTGTGCACCCTCCACCACGTTCTTCGCCGTCTCCTGAAACAGGCTGAAATTAGACGGAGATGAACTGGAGGCCGCACCCTCAGCTTCCACTTCCACAGTTTTCCCCACACCCATACGTTTGCTAGGAATCGGTTGACTGGGGGAAACTTTCTTGGGCTCTGTCCCCAAGTCGCAACTGCCGTCCTGTTGGAGGCGAGAGAAAATCTCAATTTCTTCCGATTCAGCTGTGTCGCTTCTTCCACGACTGGCCAAAGACGGTCGGGACGAGGATGAGGCGCTCTCTCCGCTGAACGAATCTTCCAGAGAGTCGATGACGCTTTTACTCCCGCTAGCTTCCACGGGGGACAAGTGAGCGGCAGCAGTTCGAGTCCTGATCACATCAGCTTCCTCCTCATCCTCCGCCACGATGATCCAATCATCTTTGTTGGACGTCTCGTACGATTTGATCTGAATGCTGGACAGGCTCTGCTCTGAGTGAACATCGTCAAGCATGGGGGTGGCTAGAGGGTGTCTCTCATTGATACCAGCATACGCTGCAGAAGGGGGGGGGGGATGGGCGGCGAAAAGGAAAAAAAAAGATTATATGATTTTTCCACAACCAAAAAAATGTTTTTTTTAAAGATTTCAAAGATGCAGACAATATCCTTCATTTCATAAAGAACCTCTCCTTTTCCAAAGCTAGTTTTAGTACGTCACTTTCCACGTACAACCATTCTCACAAACCCCTGTGAAAGCAGTTCTTTCCATGACCATTCATTCAGCCTCAGTAACATTTGCAAAAAGCCATTCAAAAACATCTTAACCCTCACTTCTTTTACAATATCTTCTGCCAATTCTTCTTGGAACTTTTTCTCTAATAAAAAAGAGGTTCTTTTCTTAACAATTGTTTTTCTTTAACCTAAAAAGTTTTCAAAAACATTTCCAATCCATACACATAAAATCGGCACCTAAATACCCCCTATTCTTTTTTAATTGCGAGTGCCGTAAAATTAATTTTAAAAATAAAAATTTTTATTTTTAAAAAAAACAACAGAATAACAAAAAAGCCACACACACACACCTGCCAAACAGCGGGAGACAAGCCCCAAAGGAAGGATGGGGTCCAACAGACTGATGAGGCGAGCCGGAGATGGCGTGTACTTGATCAGCGTACATGGGTACGCCGCCACAATACCGTCGGGCCGACGTATCCCGAACGACGCCGCTCTCATCGCCGTTGAGATAGCCAGGTTCCCGCCAGCACTGTCTCCGACTAAGATAATTTTCTCTCCAGTGGAACCTGGGAACAGACATGGTCAACAGCTCATGATTACTTTATTTTATTTTACTTTACTTTTTCCGGTCTCTGTTACCGTGGGGGGTCAAAGGGAGATGCAAACACCTTTCACGTGTTTGTTGTATCTCCTATTGCATGCTTATGTTGGTCTTGTCTTAGTTAGTTTTAATTACAGTTTTACGGCACTTGCAACTGCAATAAGGTCATCTTAAGTGCTGAAGATCAGAGGTGTTGCAAGAAAGTAACAAACAATTTTTAAAAAGGAGAGATAAGGAGGACAGATGGAAGGAAGGAGGGAGCAAATCCCACCAGACCACCCGCCAACCACCCGCTGTTCTTGTCCAATTTTCCTTGACACCCTCTACCCATCTCTTCCTAGGCCTGCACCATTCTCTGATTTGGAACCCCAAAACAATCTACTTTTCAAAGGACAGGCTGCTCTGTCAAGTCTCGGGTAGGACAAAAAGAACCAGCATTGAACGCTAAATAAATAACACCTGTTCATATTCAAGATGGTGTCACAAAGAGCAGAACATCAATCCTTTCCTCACACTCACCGTAACCAATATTTTCTAGTACTAGTTGGCAAAGGCTTGGTCGGCCAAGAGCGCCATCATAGCGAGACATAAAATGTACACAATTACAGTACAAATATTATTCTCAATATTTCTTCAACAATACCAACTGTACTACAAAAAATAGTCATGCGTATATTATTCTCAATATGATTTCGATGATATATCTTCCCTTTGTCACGCCATGAGAGGCATCCGAGAAAGTCAAAGTTTTAGTAACACTGATTCGACACCTCTAAACAAACAAGGACTATCATTAATAGTCCGGAAAGCATAAAAACACTGTAAAAACACTGAGAAATAAAGGAAACAAAAGACAAAATAACACATCAATGACAGATCCTCGATTGGCACAGGCACGACACCAGATATCAATAATGTATCGTGAATTGTGAATTGTCTTAGTAAGAGCTATGAGACTGTAAGAGATAATGTTACCTAGCTGCAGGCATTTCTAGCTGGAAAGAGTTAACCCTATCCGTACGTCATGTTTTACTATCGTATCCACACGACATGGGGAACTCTGTGCCCCAACTTTCTAAAGAGGAAATTTACTCGTTAATCCGATCCGTACGCTTTGTATTGCACTTGAGAAATAGTGAAAGTTTCAAAGAGATCTTCACACTAGGAATATTCTAAAATGTGAAATGACCCCAGGCATGCGGATAGGGTTAAAAGATAAAGTTACCTAGCTGCAGGCATTTTTGGCTGATAAGAGGAGATAATGTTACCTAGCTGCAAGCACTCGCGGACGGCCCAGGCGTAGGCATAGAAGCAATCCTCCAGGGCTCGTGGGAATGGCAGTTCCGGGGCGAGAGAGTAGTCGATGGACAGGATGGGTGTTCCTAGACTGACCGCCCAGTGCCGCAGGTAGACCTGGGAGTGACAAATCGTAGTTAGTCAAAATAATGAGGTGGGGTAACGGTTTAGCTAGTGCAATTCATGTACTTCATTTGTTTAGTTCAGTTTTAGTAGAGAGTTTTACTGCGCTCGGAACTGCATAAGGTCATATGAGCGTCAGAAGATTAAAGGTGCTACAAGAGAGTAACAAACATAAAAAAGAAGAAGGGGAGATAAAGACGATAGATGTTTGATAGGAAAGAAGAAGCAAACCACACCAGAGCACCCGCCAACCAACCACACTTCATTTGTGCATGCATTTAAGCTTACTAGACTTCATTAGTGCACATATGACCAGTCAAAGTTGGAGGGGTGGGGGCGGGGCAAAGATTATTGGATTAAGCTGCCGCTTACATAAAATCTCACAATCCATATCGATAACTCCATTTCGACCAAAGGTGGACACAGGCACTCCTTCGTCCAGCCATTGATTTCCTCTCAACATAGCGTACAAGAGTCAAACTCGAGGTCCCCGACCCATATCCGGCTTCACCAACAGTTCAGTAAGAGTCTTAGGGCACTTGTAACACAATCAGGTCATATAAGTGCTGAAGACTAGAGAAGTTAGTAGAGAATAACATACAGAGAAAAGAAGGAGGAGAGATAAGGACAATAGACGTCAGACAGGAAAGAAGGAGCAAACCACATCAGAGCATCCGTCATCCACCCACCTTGGTAAACAATTATGTTCAGCGCATGAGAGGATTTAATTTTTCCTACCTGAGAATATCAATACGCGGAACCTCACTCTAAATATAAACATACTTGGTGCCAAAAAAAAGATGCAAACATCTGACAAATTCCCATGAGAGCAAAATTAGGTACAACTTCATTTGCTATCATTTATTAATTATCTTTTGTCTCTTTTAATTCATAATGGTGTTTAAAATAAAAGATTTTTTTGTTTAGTTTTGTTTTGTTTGTTAGTTTTTTTTATAAAAGATGAGTTTTTCACTGCTCTCCTCTCACCTCATGTGACTTGGATGACTGTGCCACAAAGCCTCCTCCGTGTATATGTATCACCAGACTGGAGGTGCGCGGCTTTGGCTCCGCAGCATTTTTTGACTTCACGTCTTTCTTGAGAGCTTGCTGAAATATCAAAACCACAGAGGGATAAGCTGATGGTTGAAGACACTTTGTTTAAGTAGGCGTTTTAAGGGCATTTGCAACACAATTAGGTCATATAAGTGCTTAAGATGAGGTGTCACAAGAAAGTAACAAACACAAAAAAGGAGGAGGAGTGATAACGATAATAGATGTTTGTCAGGAAAGAAAGCGCAAATCACACCAGAGCATCCGCCAACTGTTTTTTTGTGTTGATAAGTGCTTTATGGCGCTCTTAACTGCAAAAGGTCATAAGGCATATCATGAGCTGGCAGTGCGAAAACGCAGTGGACTCGCCCCAGTCAGGGTGACCCCCGGAACATGCTAATTTAAAGAACAGTCTCACAATGTATCATACATCAACATATGGAGAAGAAACTGGACTATTCACTGAAGAAAAAATCTTTCCAAAATTTTCAGTGACAGTCAAGTCTTTATCAAAGATAAAGAATATATCAGCAGCAAGTCCGAAACTTGTCGAATGGCACCATAATTTTCCGACTCACCTCATTCAGAGGGGCCGCAAAACATCTAAATATTTCCCCAACACCCCTAAATTTGGCAGCCAATTAGAAGACAGATTTACCTTCACTTTAGAGGCTTCTGTTTACAAATCGAGTCCCTATCTTTTAAAAAAAACCCTTGGTATTACTACTTATACCACTGCAGCATTCAAATCAAAATTTGTATCATACTGAGCTCCATTTCCCAAGCTGCAGTGAAGAAAAGACTTTACCCATAGCTCTCAAAAAGTTATCAAATTTTTTTCAGGAAAGTTTAGAGCAAACAAAAGTGCATCAGCAAAATGATGGTCATTTTCACCAGTGCTTGAATTTTGATAGCAAAGGGCTTACAGAATCCAAAGTAGACAGAGCAACCCACATCAAGCCAGACACAATCAAGACAAAGGGGAGGAATTTGTTCAAGTCTCTGTTAGCTGATAGCTTGTTTGTCAGAATCTAGAGTATAAGCTAATGATTCCCCAAAGGGACAATAAAACTCATCTTATCTTATCTTATCTTTTCTAATACTGCATACATAAACACTTCACTTGAACATGCACATAAACACAAAAGTAACCATTTTCAAGTTCACACTCACTAAAATAAACATTACACACATACGAAGACACACACACACACACACACACACAGACCTGACCCTCCAACAACTGAGCTGAGATGAGCCTGACCCTCACATGCCCAGGCCCAGTGTGGGCACAGGGAGGCGTGATGACCACTGTGTCTGACCCATCCATCAGGGGCAGCTCAAAAGCGTCTGGACCTAAATTGATGATGTCGTTGACCTCTACCGATGGACACACAAATGACGGCAGTTGCTGAAACAGAGAGAGAAAAAATAATTTACTACGTACATGTGCACAAGATCAGATGTCAATGGAAAAATACTATATATTGTTCACTTTCGTCTGTTCGAGGCTAAAACAAGATACAGACAAATGGCTCTATTTAATCCTCTCAGATCTTTGCCTAAAAGTTGGATGACCAACAATCTGAAAGCTCATTAGTGAAAGTCACGCCAAACTAAGGTGCGGACACGTTCTCTTTGATGTTAGCCTTAAAACCTGTCAAAAAAATAATAGGGGATATATAGCACACATAAAAAAATTTAAAAGTTTACTTATTTTCATCAACACCACTTTAACATACATCTTCCAACGATGTCAGGCTGCTTAAGAATTGGGGGCTCTCAGTTCATACACCCATCTCCGAAAATACTGAACCAGTCAGATGAAACACTATAAGATTACAAAAACTGAAGCTCAAAAATGTCTCCTACGGGTTTCCAGTCTATGTCATCTGCATTATAGTAGGTAGCGTAAACACGGCCTCGCGGGCACTCGCGGCCGACCGCGTGGTATCTGTGAAATCAGGGTAATTCCGATCGCTGTTTCTTTGCTCTTTCGCTATAAAACATCAAATGCCGTACACCTTGTAAAAGTTCAGCTTTTCCTCGTAACAATGGTGTAAGTTGTTTATATGTCCGACTATTAGGAGCTGGAGAATCGCCGACGAAAGCGAAGCCCCTCGCGGTCGGAATGCGTAGTCGGCCGGTAAAAAAATTGACACGCGTGCATTCAAATGCTTCCCGGAACAAGGGATGATTAAATACCGTCTTTTCATTGGCGGAGAACTGTAGAGCTTTAAACGGGCTTTCCCATGGTATATATTTGGTCTTTGGCGTCTAAATAGAAAGCTTTTAAAGATACTGTCAAAATGTTTAAAGATCACTTTTTACACAAAATATGTAAAATACCTGCTTAAAAAATAGATTAATTACAAGATCAGTTTATTTTCTATTAAAATAAAGTAATCAGGTTGGAATTATTTTTCATCAATCTTTCCGCGAGACTCGGAAAACATGTGACCCTACACTACAGTATAACTGGTGCGGCGCCGGCCGGGTCAACGCTCTGTGTTTTTGTCGAAACAACGACAGATCATCGTGTTTGAGGCGATAAAATTACTGATTTGTAATGATCTCACAGTTTTGAAAAAAATTAGGCTCCATATATTTGTTATAGTGATTGTACTCAGTTAATGTGGAGATGTTTAGTGCACTTGGTACTCTTTTATTGTCTGTCAAACATGGGGTTGCAGCCAGTGACTGACTTTAACAAATTTGATCAAATTTTAAACAATTACCATTTCCTTAAAAATTGACCGAGAGGTTAAAGAATGGTACCAAAATGCTCAGTGGATATAGGCCTTTCAAATGGAACAGATAAATTTGGCATACAGCTACTTTGAAAATTTAGTTTCTGGTACCTAATTATAGTCTTGCATAATACCAACTGAGCTAACAGTGTACCTGAACCCAGTCTCACAGTCTGCTCTTGTCACTGTGAAAGTGTAAAACTGACCAAGCGATCCAAAATTGATAAAAGTAGGTTCCCGCCGCCACCAAGGCCAAATTCAAAATTAATTCCAAACCAAACTAAAAATGTTTAATGAGTCCCACGCGCCCATATGACCTTATGTTATAGCCAGCCGTAAAATCCTTACAAAAAAAAAAACAACAACCCAAAAATACCCAAGAAACCTCTCCACAGTCTCCACAGCTCAGCCCAGTGATGCAAAGTAACTGCCACCAGAATCATACACTAGAAACTCTATTCCAACACAGAGCAGCCTTCAGATTACCAGTACACGTTATGCAGTGGCATCCGGGGGGGGGGGGGGGGGGGTGTGTGCAAACAAGTGTGACATTTCTTCAACTTACATGCATGAGACCCGACTCTGAGAATCCCCAGAAAGCCTTGCAAAAACGAATGTCTGCGGTTCTCGTCACTTTCACCACCTGAAAACAGTTGACAGATTGCAGTCAAGAGAGAGTTTGAGGAAGTGTTTGTCTGTGTCAGAGTGTTCGTGTGATTTTTCCATACAGTTCTCATTACTATACACAAATATGTCATTTTTAGAGCTGAGCCCTTGGTCTAGAGTAAAAGGTGAATAGAAAACAAACCAAAAAGAAAAAATCCAGCAACGATATAACAAATCAAAAATTTCACTTATGTACATGACGGCACAGATAATAATTATAAATACTATTTGCATGGCCCAATAATCCCACTCTACAGTAAGCTCTATGTGCTTTACACTTTATATTTTTACCCCAGCAGACCATTGAACGCTCAGAAACATTCTCAGCTTCCCGTGAACAGGCAGTGCAAGCGGCTAATCAAGCGCTCAAACACTAACAAAATGACAAGTGAGAAAAATTTGAGAGAAGTGCCTTTCCCAAGGACACAACGTTGGGTCTCTGATGGCATTCTCACCCATGACCTTAGGGTTGCCAGTCTGAGATCCTAACCACTAGGCCACCGACGTGACATAGATGTTCTACACCTTATTCTATCATGAGAGCAGTTGCCCCCTCCTGCTGATGTGTGGTGGAACTGACCCGTTAGCTTCCAACCCAAGGCAGGGATCTTGACTTTGTTTCCGTAAAAATGAAAGCAGCAACATTGGTATTTTTAGCCAAGTTTATCAAAATTAACCCAAAGTGAAAAATTTTGGGGAAATTTTTCATCCATCATTTTAAACACATTACTACATAAAACATTACATCAAACAAACCGATTGCGCTACTTTTTGCAGTTACTATTTATGCTTTTAGCGATGCAGTCATTAACTGTGAATAATAAAGACGACGTCCACCTTGACAATGATGATTTGTAGAAACCCAGCAAGGTTGAGATCCATACAGCTAAATTTTAACATATATATTTGTGAGGCAGCGTGGTGGAATCAGGCTCTCGTCAAAATAATCAAAGTCAAGAAACTTGCATTTTTCCGCAGGTTTGTGGATTTTTATCAAATTTTTGTTTTTGGGCTCAACACCTTTCATGCCTATTAAAGAACTCATTTCTGTGTGGACTTTTCTGAAAAAAGTTGATTAAAGGCACAAAAGATGTAAATTTTCAGTTACCACGGACTCTTAAGCTCAGGAAATAACTCATCTTTGGAGGCCATTTTCTCACTAATTTTACCTCTGAAAACAGGTGACCTCCACCTCCCTCTTTCACAAATCTCGACTTGTATTCAAGATAAGTGGATATTTTTTCATCCAAATAAAGAGAAGTGAACAAGCTCTAAGATGATACCAATAACTCTACATGCCCAAAAATTGACGAGAGCCTGATTCCACCATGCTGCCTCACATTTATTGTTATGAGCAGGTTGTACAGAAGACCGGAATCTAGAGAACTGTCACCATTTCTATGAATTCTTTTGGTAGTTACAAGTATTGAGTAATAAGTATTCATGTACAAAAAAATGTGTTTCCAAAAAAAATTGATAATTTTTGCATGTCAATAAGGCCTTTACTATTATATATAAAATAGCTGGGGCCCCCTTTCGATGAAAGGAATGATCGGTGCTTTAATATCGACTAAATGTCATTGGCCTACTATATTTACACTCTACTGGAATGGGGCAATAAATCTTGAGAGAAGCAAAAAATTATAAAATCTAGATCAATACTCTCAAAATAAAATGCGCCTCGAAAAATCTCACTTCCGCACCGGATTTTCTCAAATTGCAGAAACAGAAGCACCAGCCTACAAAAACGATCGGCGAAATAAAGAAATTTAGCTTTTTGCAGCAAAACTGTCTAAAAACTGGAAAAACCAAGGGCATCATGCTCTGGAGAATATTTTAAAGAATCCTTTGGTGAAAACTGCATGTCGATCGGTGCAGCCGTTAAAAAGCCTTTTGAATAGCAAAATTCGGCCACCACAAATAGATAATAGATACAATCACATACGTCAAGATTTATAAAAAAGTATTTACTCTTATCAGCCTGGTATTTTTGCACAGCTGTACATCTATGGGGCCCATATCTACACCCTGTAGCAAAATCATTGCAATAAGCAGGAAAGTAGTCTTTCAACAAATTTCTTTCTTGCATCATGGCTCGGATTATGCGGAAATTATGGAGGGTAAATATAGAAAATGGGCCGTAACTTTTATAAATTTGCTTAGATTCTCGCAAGTTTGCTACAAGGTCGTTCTAATGTATTACATATCCATGACAGCAAGATTTCAAGGCAACAGCGTAAGAACTTTTTGGAATATCTTGCCATAATGACCCCAACAAAGACAAATTTGTCAAATGGAGAAAATTGCTTTTAAAGATTTCGACATGTTACAACTTCACTTTGCTCACCTTAATATTATAATTACGTTCCAGCTTCATGCGTGTCATTTATTTCGTCCTTGACGCAAACGTTTTTCAAAACCTTGACATTTGAACTTTAATAAAAATTCAAAATGTCATTGGCAAGTTTTTAAGCCCAAACTACCTTCTGGCGTTCTACAACCTGCCCTGAAATGTGCATGGAAATAAACCTGGCTCACTTTCATCCTATTTTCTCAACTCCGCTGAAGACGATGACTCATGCTGATAATGTTAATTATGATGTTGCTCTCGATCAGGTAACACCAAAGCTTTCATCTTTGTATATTACTTTATGCTCATTTCGTGACGATGGGTAGGCGTGTGCATGTGATAAGCAAGTAGATGTGTGTGTGTGTACGCGTGTGTGTGTGTGTTTGGCGTAACTGTGTGTGCACATGAGTGCGAGTTATGTGTTCGTGAGTGTGTATGTGTGTGTTTGTGTGTGTATGTGTATATCATGTGTGTGTGTTTGTGTGTGTGTGTGTGTGTGTGTGTGTATGAGTGTGTAAAATTGTGTGTGTGTGTGTGTGTGTGTGTGTGTGTCGCGTGCGTGAATATTGTGCGTACATGCATTTATGTAAAGCGCCTGAGCTGTGTTTACACGGGAGTGGGCGCTATAGAAATGATCTTCATTTTTATTATTATCTCTTCGTCCAGTTCTCAACAGAGGGACGATGATATATTTATCACCATACTACTACAGAGTTTTGAATTCAAACCTGTTGTGCTCTCAAGTCGGGGTCGAGGAAATATTTCCCCGAATTGAACACAGACGAGGCCACTTGCATCATCTGAGAAGATTCCAAGTAACCCTCCGAGTAGGATGCCATTGCGATAGCCAAGGCTTGCACCGGCCGGTACATCGAGTCACAAAACTGAAAAAAATATGTGAGGCATTGCGGTGAAATCAGGCGCTCATCAAAATAATGAAATCGGAAGCAACAGGCACTTCTCTGGCTGTTGCATGATTTATTTTTCAAATTTTCTTTTCTTGGCTCAACACCTTTTCATGTCCATTTCAAAACACATTTCAGCATGGATTTTACTGAAAAGAGTTGATTAAAGGCACAAAAATTTAATTTTCAGGTCCCAAAGACTCTCAGACTTTGAAGTCACCAAATTTTAGCAGCCATTTTTTCCCATTTTACCTTTGAAACCAGGCGACCCCCCACCTCCTTCAATCGCACAAATTTCGACTTCTATTCAAGATAAATGGATTTTTTTTCAACAAAAACAAAACGAATAAACAAGCTTTAAGATGATACCAATAACTCCACATGCCCAAAAATTGACTAGCGCCTGATTCCATCACCTCGTGACACATATTGTGAGAGAAGGACAAAGTAAAGCACATCAACACAATACAGATGACAAATAATAAAATGACACGCAGATGTACCACTTGTAGAGTCATATTATATTACATGTATTCTATACTGATTCTTCAGCACAGAAATGATCACATTTTGCTGGAGGAACAAATTTTTATAATTGTTACACTGAAAATGAGTAGAAGTAGAAGGCGAAAAACCCAATGCAGTGTGCTCAAACCACCAGCTGGAGACAAACATTAAAGAACAGAGCACCAAACAAGGACTAGTAAAGTCACCTCACAAACAGAAAAAATTTTAAGAAGCGAACCAGACAATATTTTCCACCCATCCCCATGACAGCACTCAGACGAGAACGTTTTCAACATCATAAATATTATATATATATATATTAAAAATGACAATCTCATGTTTCTTAAAAATGTCAAAATTCACTCAAACAGGCATTCTGGTAGTCCAAATATAACCCGTTCTTGATAATTTTCTACATTTTTGTACGGTGCCTCCCACAAAATGATGAACTGCTTCAAAGAAATCCAACCCTACTACTACCATACATTTAAAACATTTCTGATACAGCCAAAGACAGTCCCAAGCCTGTCTAAACACCGAAGGGCTATTCCACGGAAACTGACAGGACATTTGGATTATTTTCTTACAATGACAAAACTGTCAGGACAGAAAAAAATACCTCATAATTTGTCCTGTCAGTTACCGAAATTAAACATGTCACAGAATTTGCATGTAGTACAAGGTTGTTTTTTTTTCAAATGACTGCTTTAAAAATGATTCCTAATATTTTCTTTCATATATACTGATCATTTAAAGTTTAAATGGTCGCTTTTAAGGACAAGCGGGCTAACCCAGATTTCGGGGTTTCCAGAAATCTTGACCTGCACCAAAAGTGGGCATGGCCCTACCTTTTAGAGAAGTTTGGTTTCATTGGCGTGTATTATATTTTTCATTTGTTTTAGTAGAGGTTTTACAGCGCTCACAACCGCATAAGGTCATATGAGCACCAAGGGGTGGATGTCAACAGAGAAGTCCTAACAGGGAATCAAGACTTACTCTGCTCATTTCTCCAGCTTCAACAGCACAAAGTCTGCTTCGATTATCAAGGCACCCTGGAAATAGCGGGTCACAAAAATGTGACAAACATACAAAAGAAGTAGAGGAAAATGACGATAGTAAGGATTAGGAAAGAAAAGCAGCAGTTCCCTGTTGTAGTTCAGGCACAGTTATGAGCACGACATTGTTGAAACAGCCCATTTACAATTCTACTATGCATTAGATCGAGAAACGTCCCCCCCTTTGGGAATGGCCTAAAGACACTTCAGTCAGTGGCACCGACCCGGGGGGTGGTGTGTATATTTGTTTGTTTGGTAGTAGAGAAGACTCTCCTGGTCTTTTAAAGAAACTGAACTAGGGGCAAAAACTATACCTTCGATTTTCTCAAAACAGCATTTTTCGGGATAGCCCCCTTGTGCTTAAAAACGGCCAAATGTGAGGCAGCATACTGAAATCAGGCGCTCATAAAAATTATGAAATCAAAGAAACAGGCACTTTTTCGCCAGTTTGGAAATTTTTTTCGAATTTTTCTTTTTTGATTCAACAACTTTTATGTCAACTTAAAAACACATTTCCATCTGAATTTTACTGAAAAACATTGATTAAAGGCCCAAAAATGTCATTTTCCTGTTTTCAAAGACTCTTTAGCTATTGGATTTACCAAACTTTGGCGACCACTTTCTCACTAATTTCATCATCGAAACCAGGCGACCTCACTTCCTTCTATCGCACATATCTTTAGTTCTGTTCAAAATAGATGGATATTTATTTCATAGGAAGCAGGGCAGATAAATCAACTTTCAGATGATATCAATAATTCCACATGCCCAAAAATTGACGAGCGCCTGATTCCAGCGCATTGTGACACAAATAAATTAATTGATATGGAATTACTGTGTTTTATCATTGTAAGAAGGTATTGTCCAAATGACCTATCAGTTACCATGGAATAGCCCTGAAGGAAAATGTTTAGTATTATTTAAAAGTAGAACATCAAGTAGGACAGAAACATTGCGGAAGACCACCCACTTCTTCAAGGGCTATGACCTTTTGCGCGTTGTCAAAAGAACTTTTAACAGTATGCGTGATACAGCTTTGCCTAGGCCCATAAACATGGAGGAAGTCGACCGCCCAAAAGTACTACTTCCCTCCCTTCTGATCTAGACTTCCTTTATAAGCTCCAAAGGAGAGACACTGTCTGGTACATCAAAGAAGACGTACGGGAGAGTCTGGCTATTTTTTAAAATATTCTAACAAAGTCACCTCTTTATGAGCATTAACGTTATTATAACACAGTTCAAGAACACAAACCTGAAACCCAAGACATCTGCCGAAGAAACATTCCTGGCTCAGACCCTCAACCTCCATCATCAAAGACTCGGCAATTTCCGAGTTTAGCTTCGATTCATCAGCAAAAAGATCTCCATCCTGGCAATAGTTGACCAGCTTCAGCGCATAATAGAGCACTGCCCGCAGTTGTCCAAGTGCAGAGACATAGCTGACAAAACAAGGAATAAAATGAACGTGAAAACAAGAAAATTTAGAGTTAGAAACAGGAATAGGACAGAAACAGCAGTTACTCTAGTTTAGTAACTGAAGAAAACTTTTCGAAGAATGTTTTCGATAGGTCACCTCTATTCTCACCCTGGGTGAGAATAGTGCAGGCGAGTCTTTTGGCTATTCTCACCCGGTGCGCGTTCACCGTTATAGTTATAGTCTAGATCTAGGCCAACAAATTTTGCGTTCACCCTAAACCACAGAATTCTACACTGTGATAACAGAAAAATTGTAGAATTCTGTGCCGTGAACAAACGTTCCATTACAACTGTAGCCTACTAGAAGCGTACAAATTTGTCTGTGGGCAGTGGAGAGAGAGAGAGAGAGAGAAAGAGAGAGAGAGGAGAGAGGAGTAGCGCGAGAACTTCGGGTCAAAACAAAATGGCGACCCGCGTAGTTCGGCTCGATTCGAAAAGTTAAATAGCCGTAGCATCTTTGTAGACAACCAAATTAATTTACTTTTGTGTTTTGACATCATTTTTTAACTTTGTTTTGGTCAATTTGATCGTCCACACTGATAGACAGTATTCAGAAAGAGACAGAGAGAGAGAGAGAGGGGAGGAGTAGATCTTGCGAGAACTTCCGGGCAAAACAAAATGGCGACCCGCGTAGTTCGGCTTGATTCGAACAGTGAAATAGCCATAGCATCTTTGAAGACGATCAAATTAGCTTACTTTTGTGCTATAACGTAATTTTTTCTTGGTTTTTATTAGCAATGCCAATGAAAATTTAAATTTTCACTTTTGCCCCCTTTTTTTTGGTACCTAAGAAAGAATTTTCAATTCTAAGAATTATGCTTCTTGAATTTTGAGAATCGGTTCATAAATAAAAAAGTTATGGGGTTGTAACGGTCGGCAAAAATATGGATGACCCACATATAGGAAAATACTCCTAAAAAGTGGACCACGCAGTAGCAGATTCTGTAAGAAAATCGACGATATCTCGGTAACTAATCCGAGTGTTCGAGAGAAACTTGGCTACCCGAAGGGTTTTTGAGTGTAGAAATCATTTCTGCAGTCAGATTTACTACCAATTTCGTAGTTATTTTGTTATAATTAAAATTGTGGTGTACATATTACGATTTTGCGAAAAAGGGGTGTCGGGATGAGTCCATTTTATTTATAGCATCGTATCACAACATGGGATCTTTAAGAATATATGTCGGCAGCGTGACTAAATAATTGCAAAGCTTTTTATGATGACTTTAGACCGTGCCAACCGTAAAAGATAAGTTAATTCAATCTAGCATGCCGTACAATTAAAAATTCTTTTTCCCCATTGAGACGCGAACACCCCGAGACGAGATAACCTCGCCTCGGAATACCCCCATTGCGATGTTACAGGGGAATAGAGAGAAAAACAACCGGATGCGCGCGCCCGCCATTGCCCTATTTCAAGTGACCAATGAACGGGCCCGGAACAGTCATGCGGGGATTTGTATGTCACATACATTTGCCACGAGAGTGAGGGGAAAATGGCCGGACTCCGTGCGAAGCCGCTTTGGATAGGGGGGTAGTCGTAGATTTACAATCGGGTATTAACAACTACTTGACACAGAATGCTCAAATTTGAGCACACTATAGAGGATAGATAGATCTATTACCATCTGGGCGTTGAAATTCAAACTCCTTATAGTTTTCGGTGTACACGATACGAAAGTGTTCCCGACACCAAAAGTATAGGTTAATTTATGTGTACGAACTTCAACGTCCACATATCATTAGTTTGCCCTATTTTCTGATTGGTTGCCGAGTTTCATTCGGATTGGTTCGGAAATAGAGCAGACCGAGGTTGACAAAGTTAGTCACCTACGCTTCGGCCGGGTCCGCAAAATCGCCCGTAAACGGGGACAAATTTTCGCCTCGCGGGAAAGCCCGATTGGCATTGCTACTTTTATCAATTTGATCATCCACATCGATAGAAAGTATTCCGAAATGAGGAAAAACAGGTCTTGTTTCAAACCGGATGAGAATAGCCTACGGTCGCAAGTCTCACCCGGGGTGAGAGGTAGATCGTTTTTCTATTCTCACCCCGCATGAGAATAGCCACTTCCTTTTCGATAAGCCTTTCACTTCGAACTCGACTGCTGCACTAGCAGACAACTGACGTTCTCGGAAAAGGATTGACCTAAACTGAAACTAGACAAGGCACGTAACTCTTATAAAACAGATCGCACACGAGCTGCACAAAAGGAAAAAAGGGGGACCGGTCGCGCTCAGGGCACGGTCGCGCCAAGGGCCGACGTCTCTAAGATGATGTATTTCCGCCATAGAAGTGGCCAGCCGTACTTAAGTACGCCTAGACTGCCAGTCTAGTCGTACTTAGATCTAGGTTTGGCCCAATCGACTCAAGCCTGTTAAGTACACAGGTCTCATTAGATCTAGATCCAGTAATTATTCAGGTTCAAATACATGCAAGTCAGTAAGGAACCTTTTGGTTTTGTCTGAAATACAAATACTTTAGGCATTGCAAACTAAAAATTTCATTTACAATTCAGCCATCAATATTAAGTACGGCTAGCCTGACAGTCTAGCCGTCCTTAAGTACGGCTAGCCTGGCTGTCTACCCGTACTTAAGTACGGCTAGACAAGAAGTCTAGCCGTACTTATCTTAGGCCCTATATTAACATTAGAAAACAGGAGGTTTAAAATACATGCACTGTCATAAGGCACCTGGTTTCGTCTCAGATACAAATACTTAAGGTACTGCACACTAAAAATGTATATTTACAATTCAGTAGGCCTATTTTTTGTAAATGGTCAGTCTAGCCATCGTATTAAGAATAAGCTAGACTGTGAGTTTGGTCATTAAGTCATTAACCCTCATCCTGCGGGAGCCGGGTTTATGTAGCCCGATAAGCCTATTTCGGCACCTCGCCTGCGTTCTGGTCCCGAGTCAGTGTAGCTCCTGGCTCAGCGCACGCGCAGCGCGCATCCTCTTACGTGTCATTCGGGTCCCGAGTCGGATCCCCATTCACGCAGGTCAAGTGTGTGTGCGTCAGTCTGCTTGAGTTTGTGTGCGTTTGTGGCCTTCTTCTAGAACCACCTGCGTTGGTTCGTAATCGAGGCATACGTCTCATTCAAAACATGCCAAGTTGATAGCTCTAGATGTTCGTCCAATGAAATTATAGAAGAAATTGACCCACTAAGTTAGACATGAGGAGCTCGAAAGGAAAGTCATGAAACAAGACTTCCATTTTTCTATACAAAATATTTCAAATGAGCTTGATTTTGTATGAAATGATACTACCTGATAAAAGATGAGCTTGTTTAATAGTTTTGAATACCCTTGTGCAGGTACAAAGAACAATTTGAGTGTAAAACATTCGGAAATTGACCTAAATTATCCCTTTTCGAACTTCAGGTCATTCATAACAACAAGAGCGTCCAGAAAGGTTATTCAAATGGGCGTAACTACTCGTAATGTCTTATCAGCTTGTGAGAGGGGGTTATTCATGTGTTTGTAACACTTTATAAATAGAATGCTATGAGGGATAGAGCGTTATTTTCATCATCAGTTAACACACTCCCGCGGTATTCATGGCGAAAACACACGTTTCCCAGCGCGCGCGCTGTACACCAACAGTACACACTGAGTGACCCCGGCGGCCTGCCCGGCGAGTCCGACGTAATCGGTTGCTGATAAGATACGCATCTGGGCACAGACGCAGGATAAGAGTTAAGTACGGCTAGCCTCTTCCTTCCGCCATCTAATTTAAGTGTTCCCTGCAGCCTCATGTGTTTTGATCCCAACTCACCATTCAAGTTCTTTAGCATAAAACTTTTTCCGAAACAGAATGGAGTCCCGTACAGATGATATGTACCTCGACAATTGTAATAAATGTAAGCAGCATTTCTGAACGATTCTTAACAGACTGCGATAACCATTTCCTTTCACTGACGAAGAGAAGTCGTACAAATGCAAATGTTTTGACAGTTCCCTGTAACTGGGCTCAATGCCAACGTCCAGATATTCATACAGTAATTTGAATGACACATGGAATTTCGCATGATAGCTCTGTTTGCCATTTTGAAAATACTGCACGTTGCTAAGAGCTAACGATTTCAGTTCTCTGGCGAGAGCAGAAAAGAATCTGCCTGGATTCTCTGCTACGTCAAGTTCCATTTTGTTTTGATACCACCATTTTCATCAGGTCGGCACAGAATTGATAAACTTCCGGTATTGCCACTCCAAAAATAGGTGTATACAATTCAGACCACTGCTTAACCATTTACTGTAAAACCTATAATCTCATACCTATTTCGAAATTTTATGTCTCTTCTTTTCAAATCAATTTTTCGTAAATCAGAAGCTTCATCCACAATCACACCCTATCTCTCTCTCTCTCTCTCCCCCCTCTCTCTCTCTCTCACACACACACACACACACACACACACACACACACACACACACACACACACACACACACACACACACACACACACACACACACACACACACACACACACACACACACACAGGGCCATCGAGAGCCAGGTCGAATCGGGCCCTGGGGCAGCAATCACCTTCGGGCCCCTCCTCCCCCCGGTTTCACCCACCCTCATCTGCAATTTACAAATACAATGTACATATTATGCATAATATATAATCACTTTACTGTAGCATATTATCTATTACATACCAACATACGCTCTCTCTCTCTCTCTCTCTCTCTCTCTCTCTCTCTCTCTCTCTCTCTCTCTCTCTCTCTCTTTTTCTCTCTCTCTTTTCCGCGTGTTTGCGGGCCCCCCAAACCCCCGGGCCCCGGGGCATTGGTTCCCCCTGACCCCCCCCCCCCCCTCTCGACAGGCCTGCACACACACACACACACACACACACACACACACACACACACATTGAGTAATGTCATGCTAGTGCAAAGATGGTACACAGAGGAAGGCTCGGGGTGGGAGCAGCTTCTCAACCATGTCTTCTCAACGCCAGCGAATGAAGAAAAAAAAAAGCTTAGGCCTAGAGTCGATATTCAAACATGCTTACTGTAACACTTTGTCATGGGTCAAGGTTAACATTTCAACGAATTTGTCATACAATGCAAATAAAAATTAGATGCAGAAATACAGCCAGGAATTTCCTTTATTTTTGTTTAAAAGAAAAATCACAACATTGAATTCATTAACAATTATTGATAACAAAAGTATCTCTTATTTACTTCAAGTGTTAGCCAATTGTAGGAGGACTAAGTCGTCACATCTTTCCATTTTTTTCCTGAGCAAAACAACACCTTGGAGTTAGGAGGCAGCTATCAGCTGCAAGAATAGAAATATTGCCCTCAATTTTCTAATAGACTCTACGCGACATTGTGAACTGGTTTTGTTTTAGGTTTCAAAAGTTTGATGTAATTTTGGTGCGTTGTCACTTCCCAATATCTTCATCGTACTTTATCTCTCTTGTTCTTAGATTCAATTCTTATTTTAGTTTGCATGCTACGAGTTTGTGAAGACACGACGGGATTGCTGGATAGAAACATTTAGCTGAGTAAAATGGCCGACCTTGTTCCTATATCCACCTAACTGTATAACCTGCTCGTTCTGATGTTTTAAACGTTTATGGTCTTTTTCCATATAAGTTATATAACAGTATTTTAAAATGCAACACCAACTACCTACACTCCGGTAGCAGTTAGATCTAGATCTAGGCCTACGTTCCCATCACTGTGGTGGTGACCTCCTCCACTGAGTCTTTTCGGAGTGATTATTCGCACCCGGGGTGAGGATAAACTGGATATTATTCTCACCCGGGTTGAGAATAAAATGTCGAGAATAACGACAGCCTACTATTCTCACCCGGTTTTTTTCGTTTCGGGCTTCATAGGGCCCCTGTCACTGAGCGCTCACTCCAGGAGACAAAGTTCGCTTCCCTCTCTCTCTGCCCTGCTGTCTGCTGAGCACGCAAGCCAAGGCGACTAAAATCGTCGACGGGCGGGCCAGCTCTCGAGCGCGGGAGGGGACTATTATCGATTTGGGGGGAAACCTTATCTTTTGAGGAAATAGCGTCACCTTTTGTTGCTATTTGTTGGTTCTGTAATGGAAAATTTAACTCTTGAATGGTTTTACCAATCAAAATTAAGAAAAAATAAAATTATAAGCCTAGGGTCTAAGTCTAAGCACTGCGTGCCTTAAAAATAATCGTGGGGTCTGTTAGAGATAAGATGGAAAATGTCTAAGACACAATTTTTGTCTGGCTCCTTTGCGTTGCGATTCCATCTTAACTTACACAGGTTCGACTGTATATCAAAAACTTCAATAATTTGCAAAGGATATTATGTCGAAATTCATGTAATACGTAAAAAAAATGAACTAGAAAAATGCTATACAATGCTTGGAGACGAGAGTGAAAGTAAAATGATAAGAAAATTTCTAATTTTCTGTCTCATCTTCAGATAAGAGATCACTTGATTTGCCATTCCCGGCTTCTATTGTTTGTAGATGCATTGTGTGCTTCATTTTTGTTTAAAGATTGAATTTTGTCTTTGATTGCCCTTTCAAGTTATGTATATATATTTCTATCCTTTTTTAAAAAAATTCAGAGTAGCTGCTGCATCACTCATTTTGTGATACTGAGAGAAACAAGGCAAGATGGATGAAGACGGGAAAGAGGAAGACAGAAAGAGTGAAGGGGAGGAGGGGAGTGGTGATGCTTCCAAAAGGCCTGTTCTAAAAAAACAGGACAGTGGCATAACACTGGACAGTTGTTTGTCCAGCAAATCAGAAGACAGCGCAAAGTCGCCCTCTACTAGTTTGAGGGATGGGGCTTCTGATGCTGACATGAATGATTCGGAGTGGCTAATTGACAGTGCGGTGCCGTCTTCTTCGCTGTCCGAGTCTGGTGCGGAAACCAAGTCAGAAGATAGCCCTTCTTTCAAAGACGATAATGACCCGGACACGCAGAGCGAAGATATTAACGCGATGGATGACTTTATTAATGAGGAGACTGTCAGTAGCGTGAAAGACACTGCTTCCTCGGTTAGCGCTGACAAAATTGGCATAATGACTGTTGACCATGAGGATGAAGTTATGGCTGACAGTCAGCAAATGAGTGGCTCGGACATAAACGGTATTAGCAATGCAGACAGTTCCAGGGCAGGAGGCAGCAATTCCCTTGGCTACAAACGACTCACGGAGGACGAGGACGATTCCCCAGAACCAAAGAGGCGAACGCCAGACCGGTGGGACGAGGAAAGGGAAGAAGAAGCAGTAGATGCATCTAAAAAAGCATCATCTACCTCTGGGGATCTTTCGTCGGAGGATAGACTGGCATCTGAAAATCTGCCAGATCTAACCTCAGATGATGATGATGAAGAAGAAGAAGAAACTTCAGAATCAAACCAGCTTCTGCATCAATTGTTACAACGCAACAGCCGTCGCAACCAGGCCAAGCGCCGGGACTCCAGCTCAGAGGACTCAGATTCTTCAGAAGATGAAGGGGAAAATGACAATACGGGCAACAGAGATTCTGACGAAGAAGAGAGTGAAGAATCAAATGAGGAGGTGAAGAAAGCTGTGTGGGACATTATGAGCAAACCTCCCCCAAAGCCCAACTGGTTTGTGCTTCCGGAACTGAGGAGGAGGGAGTACGGCTTCTCTCGACGCGAGAGCCTGATGAGTTTCAATGAGAAGCTCCAGGGCAGTCTGGAGATGGTGAAGCGACTAGTCATGGTGGAGCAGATGAAATGCCATGAGGGCTGTGTCAATGCCCTTACCTTTAACAGAATAGGTGAGTCCTTGGGGGTTGTACTCATCATTATTCATTACGTTTGTCTTTGTCGTAATCTGGTTTTTATCATATTTAATTCCATGGATGATTGTGTATTCATCATGATTGTGGTTGTCTTTGCTGTTTTGATGTATGCATGTACCTGCATCTGTGGAGTAGCGAAAGCCACTTTGCTGTCGCTTGCAGGAGACAGGAGTTTAATTCCTGAGTGGGGAGGAATTTTTTATTGATGAGCATCTCTGTCTTTCTGCTGGGATATTGTATCCCTCTCGGCCCGGATTGACCCAGAGGAAGCCCTCCTCCTAAATGAGGCATAAAAACGCCTACATTTGAAAACAAAATTGTTTTAGTGTGGTCTAGTGGCTTGGACTTTGGGTTACCTACTCCTTCTGGTTTCTTTTCAAGAACAATTCTTCTGTGGTCCTGATGCTGGTGAAATGTGATTATTTAAATTGTGTTTTCTTTATTCACTGTGAAAGCAATTCAAGAATTCGTCCTCTACCCTGTTTGCAGGGGTTTGTGCTATGTCCATTTAAAGTCTGTCTAGCGACAAACGGTTTAGTTGCTTCTTCTTTCCTATCGAACATCTATGGTCCTTATCTCTCCTCCTTTTTTATGTTTGTTAAGTACTCTCTTGTAACACCTCTAATCTTCAGCACTTATATGACCTTATTGTTTTGGTTGGTTCAGTAATTTTCTGAATCCGAACGTTTTTTATCTTTCTCTTCTGAACTTTTCTCTTTTACTTTTAGTTTTCTAATTCTGTGCAAAAGCTTTATGAGCACATTCAGCTGATGGAACCATTTTTAGTCTGGCTATGAGTTGGGTTCTTCTCAATTTTACTGGGTAGGATGCTGTTTCAAGGCTGCAGAATGCACGTGGGAGTCATTGATTTAATGTAGAAAGCATTATAACAAGATTTTCTTTGCAGGCTACAGCACTGTACGCCTGTGGTTGGTTGAAGGGTGCTCTGGTGTGTGGTTTGTTCCTTCTTTCCTATCAAACATTTAAATTTCCTTTTCTTTGTTACTCTCAAATTAGTACCGCTTTTAATCTTCGGCACTGATTTGACATGTTTTTGTTGAAAGTGCTGTCTTACTAAAACTAAACTGAGGTGGTCAGTTGGAATGGTTTGGCTGAACAAAACACTTTTGCATGAGATTTCAATTGGGAGTTGATATTAGAGCTGTGTAATACTCAATATTTTCCTGCTTGTGCTCGCTCAATTCAGAGCTCTCTGCTGGAGCCAAAGGGAGTCTACTTTGTTTCAACTTATCCCACCATCTCGGCCTCAACTCCTTCCCAGAGCTGTCATGAAAATGTGTATGCGACACAATGATGTAACAGGAAGCTGTGACATCAAAGTAGGGGGGGGGGGTTCCTACCATGAATTGATTGCAACGCTGGTCATTATCAAGCACTGAGCACTGAGACATGGTACTGCACTACTTGAGCAACACTGCTCGGAGGCCTTGCTATTACTACTGGAGCAGCTTTTGGGCGAGGAGCTGCTAGCAAGTGACGGGTGCTCGGACAGGCTCGATACAGCACGAGTAGAATATGTAAAGACTTGTGAAACATCTTTGGCATCGTGTCGAGATAAAACATTGTGGGTTCGCTGTAATGTACTTGTCCTTTGCGTTGACTGTTCTGGCTGTGCTGCAGTGGGAAGGATGTGTGTAACATCTACTTCTCTCTCTCTCTCTTCCAGGAACTCTGCTGGCCAGTGGGTCAGATGACCTCAATATTGTGCTGTGGAACTGGCAACGAGGACGACCTTCGCTCATCTATGACAGTGGTCACCGAAGTAATGTCTTTCAGGTGAGTAAGTTTTATTTGTGTTTGTTGTTGTAAGGTTTCACGGCACTCGCAGCTGTATACGGTCATATGGGCGCCAAGGGGTGGATGTCAACAGAGAAGTCTAAATGGGGAATCAGGCTTACTGTGCTCACCTCTCTAGCCTCAACAGCACAAAGTCTGCTTCGACTATCAAGGCACCCCGGAACTAGCGGTTCACAAGAGAGTCACAAACACACAAAAGAAGTGGAGGAAAAATGATGATTGAAAGGATGGGGAAAGAAAAAGCAGCAGTTCCGCCTATGTTGTTCCGGCTCTGTATGAGCATTACATTGATAAATCAGCTCATTTACAATTCTACTGTGCATAAGAACATGTTAATATCCCCCCTTTGGGAATGGCTTAAAAAACACTTCAGTCAGTAGCCCTGCCCTGGTGGGAGGCTGAGTGAGTTTGTGCCAGAGCCTGTTTCTTGAAGATTTATTTAATAATAATAATAACATTTATTTAGCATTCAACCGGGATCAAAGTACACACATGCTCTGATCACTTTACAACACAGTGCAACAGAAACATAAAACGTGTTCTAACCAAAAGAAAATCTCTCTAAATATTCATCATATCAATTTAAAAACAGAAATGACTTCAGCTGACATTTGAATGAATCAAAGGGTTCAAAGATTTATTTTCTCTCATGTGTTTTATTTTTGTTTTGCTTTCAGTGTGTAAGTCCTTGTGCTAATGGCACAATGATAGGGGGTGGGTGACTGGCTAGTTAAGAGGCAAGAAATGCTTTACCTCTAGAGCAAAGTAGTTGGTAGGATCCTTTTTAGTGCAAGTGGGCAGTGGCGGGGCGCCATTGGTGCAATTGGTGCAAACGCTCCACTTAAACCTGGCCTTCACCTCCCCCATTTTCTAATTGTTCTAAAACAGTGCTCTAGATCTACATACATGTTCTCTCTCTCTCTCTCTCTCTCTCTCTCTCTCTCTCT